TCCCCTCCGCCGCGGCGGAGCAGCGAAGTAGTTTGGGCCGGATGAGCGGGATGGTCGCCCCCCAGCCCTCCACGGCAGCACGTCAGCCGGGCATTTCCTCCCCCCAAAAAAGTAGCGAGCGCGTGGGCCTGCGGGGGCAGCAGGCCTGCCCCGCTGTCGGGACGCAGGTAAGACAAGTGGCCTAATTCCAGCGCGGTAACCGGCGCTGCCAGCACCTGATTACGGAGGCAGGAGGCTAAAAGCCCGGCGGCTGCCTGCCCGCCTTCCGATGGAGAACCGGGCAAAAGCACGCAGCTCCTCACACTCGTTTCCAACTTTAGTTTTCCCCTCGTGCGGCTGGAAGGTGCAGAGTCTGGTCTGCTGTCACCTGGTGAAACGGAAACGAGTGTGAGGAGCCCCCCCCCCCCCCCCTCTGGATCAACATGTGCAAACTCTGAAAACTACCTACTGTTCATTTCAGTCCAAAGTTACAAAGGGGGAGGCCACACTGGTCAGCTGGTGGTCATCCTGAAGTTTGTTAGTGAGGAGGGATCCCTGCCATCCATGCTCAGATACTTCCTGCTTTAGGAATGCTTGGATTGTTGTCAGTAGGCGGGAGTCTCTTGTCCTTTTTAACTGGTCTTGGTCTTTAACTGGATTAGATTTGGGTGCAAATGTGCCTTAAAGAAAAATCTGGGCTAAAATTACAATACAAAACCCACTCAGTATGTGTGTCTATACATATATACATGTGTATGTGTAAATATACATGTGTATGTGCCAATGTGCGTGTGTGTGCGTGTGTGCGCGTGTGTAAAACCTCCCTGTTGAAATCCTTGTGTGTGCATCCAATGAAAACCTGAACCGACCTGATGGTAACAGGAAATGTGGTTTTGACACAGGGCTGCAGCGGGTGAAGGCCGGGGGAGCTTAAGGTGTCAGCGGAGGAAAGGGTCCACCTGTGTGCATGTGTTCAGTACAAATGAATATCAGAAGCTTTGGTTAATGTGGTCGCTCCCTGCCACAGGTCTGATGAATCCATCCGGCTCAGATTCACAGGGTTTCCATTCATTTGAGTTCATTTCTGGATCTTTTAGTCACTGAGAGCTGAAAGACAAATTACCTAAAGCATGTGTCACCGTGTTAAGCCCGGTTAAATGCATTGTCTCTGGACTATAGGAGCTGATCTCAGATCGTTAAAATGTGGGTTTGTCTGATTTAGAAAACAAGTTATTTTCAGATCCAGCGGAGCGAGTCTCCGCCTGATATAATATCAGCCATCAATGTGAGAAACAGCCCAAAGATACAAAGGTTCTTCCTGAGTCCATGTGTTTGTTTTTACCAGTGAGAAAACTAAGAATGACAAAGAACGGGGTCACAACAATGGCCTGATTGTGCTCTACAGGCTCACTATATCACTTTGCCGAAGTGGTTTGGCAGCTCAGTTTATATTAACCAGAGAGGACGCAGATAACAAAAGTGTAAACCCACTAAAGAGACTTTTTCTCACTTCTCCAGCCCAACGCTCTGCTGCCGTCAGTGGAAGTGAGCTGCTGTGTGTGGGGCCGGAGCCCAGTGGGCCGGGGAACTTAGACCCATGGCGCTCTCACAAAGGCTGGGGCTCTCTTGATGACAGCATCGAAATCTGTAGAAACCCTCCCAACTTCCCCAGTCCGCCGGCAGCCGGGGGCCTGATCTAGCTTCCTCCTCTTAATTCTCAAGCAACAGACCCACACCTCTCCCACTCTTTTCTTTTTGGTGTATTTCTGAGAGCTGTGCAGCAGATATCACCCGCAGCTGATTGTGAGCTGACCTGCAAACTCTGACTCGCGTGCAGTCACGAGCTGGCTCTTTTTTTTTTTCTTTTTCCCCCCCTCTTCTCTAAAATACAGCGCAGTTTATGACTTCGTTTCCGCGATAAGCCCTTTTCAGTTTAGCGCACCGTTACACTCTTCGGTCGCGATCCCCCATTCCCCTTGAGCGGCTGGAGCTCGCGTTGCATGCCGGTACCTGCAGTCCCCACCCCTCCCAGCGTCTCCAGCGTCCAATGCTGGGCGTGGATTTCCGAGCACTACATCTCCCAGGCTGTCACGCGCACCCTTCTGCCCCTCTCCCTCCGCGCTCTCCCACCAGACTGGAGGCAGGAGATACGGAACGGACTGTCTTGACGACCTCCCCCCCCCCCCCTCCTCCCCCCTCCTCCCCTCCTCCTCCCTTCCTCCCGCCCCCCCGGACTTTTAGAACCGAAAACCGTCGAGATTAGTGGGCAGCCACGGACGGCCGAGGCGAAAGGCTGGACGCTGCCGCACCACGGCCGTGCACGCGCGTCGTTCACTCGCCATCTGGACGAGCGGGTTCGTAACTGTTTGTGTCATTAGACATCTTTCACCTCGCCCGCTGGTTAGCACGGGGACGGTTCAGTGTCTCAAACAGAGAGTAAAGGGGAAGGGGGGCCCGGGAGGAGAGCGGCGGCTCGGCTCGGTGGGTCCGGGGGCTCGGCGGAATGCCTTTCAGCGCCGGAGTGCCTCCAGCCGGTCCCCCAAAGGGCCGATAAGAGGGGCCGGAGCACTCCACGTTAGACAAATAACACGAGCCCGCCTCAACATGAAACCCACCGGCCGGCAGCCGAGGACACCGGAGCTTAGCGGAGACTCCGCCAGGCGGGGAGCTGGACCCGAGCTGGAGGAGGAGGTGGAGGAGGTGGTGGTGGTCAGCGGAGTTGATATTGTTTGCTCCCTTCTCGGCTCTTCTTTAGTCCAGCGACACGAGCCCGTGGACTAAGTTGTGTCGCCCACCCTCTCGTGGTCCTTCCTCAGTCGGGCCACTTTTTGTTTTTTGTTGTTCTTCTTCTGCCCGTAAGTCCACGCGCTTCACTTTGTGTTCATCAGCGGGGAAACGGACCGGTTGTCCGCCAAAGCCTCCGCTGTCCGGCTGTTTGCGGAACAAACGCCCCGGCGGCGGAGGCTCGGGACTTTCTGGTTGTTTCTCTCCGTCTCTGCGCGGCTTCGTGCTGCTGTTGACTCCCCGTATCAGACGGGGATGTGACATGTTACCACACTGTGACCCGGGCAGCCTAACGATGTGGTGGGGGTTGTGGTTTGTGTATGT